GTTTTCAGAGACCATCAATCACCCACCAGCCACACTTTTCTTTCAGGCAAAACACACTAAGTTCAGCCCCACAGTGAAAGGAGGCCTTCAGAGGCGAGACCATGGCTTTGCAGTGTTTGTTGCTTTTCTCCATTTCCCTTTGTTGTGTTTGGGTATCTTTGTAAGGGGAGGAGAAAACAAGGGAAGTAGAAGCAGTCAGATGGTGGTGGCTGGACCTGTGTCCCACACTATTTTGCCCTTCCTTTATTTTTCCTCTCTACTGGACCGAATACAGACTTCTCTCAAAACAGTCAACTCAATTTGCATTGCTTGGAAGATGCACAAATATGAACACACATCTGTCTTTTTTTCTTTATTCTACTAGCTTTTTACAGTGTATTTTATCTTACTTTTCCCCTTTTCTAGTGACTATGGGACAGAGAGGGAAAATTATCAGCAAACAAATTTTACCATATTAAAAAAAATCTGCAATTGGTTATCTTTATCAGAATGATATATGCCTTTGTTATCCCACTCCCTGGCATCTGACATGCAGAAATTGAGACAATGGTGTGAAAAGATCTACAAGACACAAAAGGCAGGTTACACAAACAGGATGGGCCTAATGCACGTTGAAATCTGCAGAACAGCATGAAATCAACACTGTGAACTGCCAAAAAGGAGAAAAAATTTCATACTCTAACTTGGAAAGGCTCCTATTGACATCGCAAAGTTAAGCCAGAAAACAGTATGTATGGTCCACTATCTACACACATCCTGCATATTCTGAAGTTCAGAAAGGCATGTGCAGAGCCTTAGATAGCAGATACACAGGTAAGATCAAAGTAATGATTAAAAACCTTTTCTTCTTATTTTATATTTGATTAAAAGAAGAACTGAAATTCATGAGATAAAATATATTCTTATTTGAGAATACCTTTGTTTGACTTAAATTATCAAAATGTTCAGACATATAAAAATTTAAATAGTAACACTAAACAGTAGTTTAGGCAGGATTTAAAAATTTCTGAATTTCCCTCCATTAGAAATACATATTGCTTTTGTAAATATTCAAGGTATACTGGGAATGTAGGATACAGAATTTACAGTGAAGGAAAAAAGCAATATTTCTTTGCAGTGCAGGCTAACAGACACAGTTCAGTTTTGCCTAACTCACAGCCTACCTGCCATTGACCCCTAATTCATACAGTATTTCTTCTAGGAAAAGACATACAAGGCTTACAAAAAGTATACAGTTTTAGTAACTAACTTATTTATATTGTGTGTATGTGTGCATGTGTAGGTTCACTCCTATGGGTCCTGGCAGTGGAACTCAGGTTGTATGGCTTGGATGAACAAGCCTCTACCTGTTGAGACATCTAAGTAGACCTAAAGTTTCTTTTAAAGGCTTCATTTATAAATGAATCTATCCCCCTTTTCCGCAGAACTTAAAGATTTGCAAAAGTTACCAAGGGGTTAATAATTGTAATATATAAATCTGTCAGTTCTTTTCTCTTTAACTCTTCCTGCCCAGCTTATTCTGCTGAGGGCAAGAGATTAACATACCTCTCTATTCGGGTTTCATTTTAATTCTATAAAGTTACTACTGGTGTTAGAAAGATGTCGTCTAACTGCTCAGCTAAGCACACCAATAACTGAGGACCCACTGATGTAATCGCTAATTAACTTATAACTATCTTAAAGAATTAAGTAGCCTAGGTTCTTTCAAATATATTGTGTCTCTACACTGCACTTTGAATTTTAAGACATAAATACACAGCCATGAATGATACTGGCAAACATGAAAGCCTACATTCAGTTCCCATCGTCAGGATCACCCTGGCTTTCTTAGATGCTTGAGTACAACTTTCACACTAGGACTAGATTTCTGTCCAAAATTGTACAAGTACACAAAATTCTGTGTAGCTGAACATCAGTGGACAAAATTCTGAGTTCTTTATGATCAAAATTTGTCTGTGGTACTGCTAAACTGTCAGAATTATGTCATGTGACAATTGAAACATCTGCCAAAATTAAAACAAAAATCTGACTTCTTAACTGAAGACTTCCTCATGAGAATAAATAACTTAAAATCTAACTTACCTTTCACTCACAAAAAAAAACCTTTTTAAAGTAAATTAAAATAAAATCAGATGGCTTAAAAATGAACTTTCCTCTATTCTCTTCAGCTGATGAGTGTTACATGGTAGTATTTGCTTGCTACTTTATCATTTTTAATAGTCTGTCACATGTGACATCACCTGTTCTCTTGGGGATGTCCTTGGTATATAAATCATAGTTTTCTTATTTCACTGAATGTTTTATTTTAGGAGTGAAGGCATGGGTTATTAATTTCCCACTTCTGCATGTCATTAATAAGTATCTTCAACTGTTAGTGTTATTTGGGAATAGATAATTACAGATTAATAGGTATGAAACAGATAAAACTTATTTCCCATAATGAATTAAAGAAAATTTAAAGCAAAAAAAAATAAGTAGAATCATAGCAGCAACAAAACCTAGCCAAAGTTATCATCACATTTATCGTCACTTTAAGTCATCATCTGAGAAATTTATTGCTTTTTCAATAAGAGGAGAGGAAGAAAAGCATAGATAGTTAATAGCACCACCTTTGGCTTTTACACTTTGGCATGTTACTAAGGCAGTCACTGGTGCAAATTCACACTGACTGAAGGAAATGTCCATATCACTAAATATTAAACTTTAACACTTCAGTTAATTTCATTTGTAAATGGTCAATTTTTTAGGACATAAGCCCTATGCAGCTTAGGAGAAAATGAGTTCATTTCAGAAACAATTCAAGCTTAACTAAATTTGTCCTTCAAGCAAAAGCACAATACAAGGCTTCCTGCATGAGATGTGTGTTGGATGGGGCAGGACTATCTCTTCTGTTCTGTTATTTTCCTTTAGTACATTTTGTTTCTTCCTCTTTATCACATTTTCCCACTTTACACCACTCTCTGTTCAGTAATAAGGGTACTCTAGTTAAATGAGTTTTTAAATATACAAATGATACTTCAACTGGAACCCATGACAATTTTAATTTAGTACACTTTCTCCATAAGTGGATCTGGCAGTCCCATATGAATTAAGAAAATACATTCTTAAGAGAACTTTTGGTTTTGTCACATTTGTGCAAAGCATCTGCAGAAGTGAAAGACACTTGAAGATTGGGTCTTTTGGGAGAGGCATAGCTGTTTTCTTGCTTATTCATCACCTGTACCTGTTAATCATCCTTGACAAATGGCTTCCTCTCATGCTATGTTCTTCTGAGGGACTGCTGTCAGGGTACATAAAGAGTGAGGTAACACTCACATGTGCTTCTCTTGTTGGTATCTATTTGCCCACTTATTCAATGATATACTGTGATTCTGTGTCTGCTAGAAGTCGAAGTTTGCTTTCAGTACAGATCACATTTCACACGAAGCTGTGTATAGCAGCATCAGAGAGGAATCTCTTTCCTCAATGGATTACTGGGGATAAGGAATATGATCTAAGGAAAACATTGCCCTACAAAACTGTTTTTAGGGCCCTCTATGGATTCAAGTTAGGTGACAGACAAAGTACATAAATTGCTGGGTCCATCACAACGATGTTGAATTTATTCAGAAATAGTTTGTATGCTTCCATTTTAAAATGAAGCAAAGCAAAAGTTACCATACCTATTTATTTTATCAAATTGCCTTAAAAGAGTACCAAAGAGAGACTCAACATGCATGCAGAGGATTACAGTGACCCAAGAGGATAACAGATCTGCTCACCCATCCTGGACAAGTTCACAATTTATCTTTATCTGTCATGTAAAAAGTGTATGCAGAAGGGTATTGATTTTATGAACACTTTCACTGCTATTTGTGCTTATGAAGGCATATGCTTGCCTTCAAAAAGGCAAATTTAAAGAATCTTAACCTCATTTAACTCAAAATTTTAAACTACTCAACATTTGTGATGACTATAAAGCTACCTTGAAATGTGGAAAAGCTCTTTCATTTGAAGACTTAGTAGCTACTGTGTTCATCTATATGCAAAAAAATATGTTAAACACAATAAGCCATGCATTCTCACAGTTCAAAGCAATTCACTGAGAATGTGCAGTTTAATACCTACAGTGCATCACACTGGGAGTTACAGCATTCAGACATTAATTAGAAGCAAAAGAACTCTGCCAGCAGTGTGGGGTGTATTACTACAACCAAATTTTAATCCCAAAGACTTTCTAGTTCGATGTTTTGCTCACTGTGGGAAGGTATTACAACAGCACTGCTCAGTGTGATGTTTTTAGTTCTCTCTACCATTTGATATTTGACATTTGATTGACATAAACAGTTTGGTCAGAAGAAAGCAGAGTAGAACTAGTCTTCAAGTAATATTATTACAAAACTACGCCTCATCAGAATAGTGTATTTTCTCTGTTGAAGCACTTAATGTTCTTTATTTTATAAAAAAGTAATTTTATATCTCAATTTATTCAAATGTCTCTATAGCATGAAACCCACATTGTTCAGTGAAATTTAGTACAATTAAAAATTTAAAAGACATGAAATTGTTTATTCCGTCCATCCATTCATCCTTTTCTTTCTCTTCTCTAATTATCTCCCCTGTCTTTCTTTTCTTCCTGTCTTCACTTCCTCCATTCTTCTTTTATGGTACCATAAACATAGATATCAATCATGAAATAAATATCCCAATGAGAACAAATTCCACATCCATCTATTTACTCATGTATTTACTTTATAAGATGAAAAGCCAGTTGTGTACCTCCCATTAAAGTGAGATACTTTTTTAAATACTAGGACAAATGATGCATCTTTCTTGTTCCCATCCCACTTCAGATTTCACAAAGTACTTAAATTCCTCTCTACTGTACATATATGTGTATGCCAACAATATTAAAGCAAACAATTAAGATGGACAAAATAACTCAAAATTGAGTGATATATCATTTCTCAGGACAATGTCAACTGGACTATGACATTGTGACAAGTGAAGTGACCACTTACCTGGTGTTTGAAAGTTAAGGCGCCTCAGCTCTACTGGGTCTGTTGGGTGGTGTGAAGGGACCTCCTTACTGTTTGGTAAACTGCTCTTTCTGGACTCTGACTCTGCCCTTTTCCTGTAGGGGACAAAATCAAGATTTAAGATGTGAGACAAGTAAAACAAACAAAGAACTAACCAATCAACTATTCCTTACATTAGTTTTTCCTCAACACTGGTTTCAATGTTCTTGGACAGCTTTGTGGATAAAGAACTTTGTGACCATGTTCAGGTGTTCTCCTGTTAGCTTATAGTGGCTCCTCAGTCTCACAAGTTTTGCCAATTTGGATGACCTCTTCAGTTTGGGGGACTAAATAATTAATTCAGGTCATCTGCATTTGTGTTTGCAAGGAGCACTGTTAAGGTGTTACTAGACTTGCTCAGAAATCCTGTCTACTAGTAGTATTTGTGGTGAATAGAATTCTATGCCTCTAGAAGACAAAAGTAACATTTTACCATAAGAAAATTGTCTGACCTCAAAGTAAACAACTCATTCTACCTTCCCTGATTCTTTCTCTCTCTTTTTAAAATATGTAACTGATGACTAGATCTATTGCGGTAACTGAAGTAAATGCATGTCTAAACTTTTGTTATCCTAAATGCACAGGAGAGAGTCAGGACCACAAAAGACAAATGTCTCCTCCCTTTCTCACATTCGAAGAAAAATGAAAATAGTGGCTGTATACAGTGGTATTATGTAACAATCCTTATTATTTTGTTAATGGCAATCAATCACAGAAAGACAAGAAAAATTAATTTGGTTTTATAGAATTGCCAATTCTTGTGATGATTATTCAAGACAGTAAGTTTTTCTACCAAGGTGATTCTTCACATAATTCACCTTTTCCCTCTTTCAATGCTGACCTAATTAGATACACTTTCTTAAACTGCCACAATGGAATTTAAACAAAGTTTTAAGTAAGAAATGTGGGATTTTTCCATAAAATTCATCTATCCATTTTCTTCCAAACCCAAACAATTTCTTTTAGAGAGTTAGATGAGAACTCCATGTAGCAAATGGAAGCATTTTTTTCAGATTGCCTTCTTTAAATAATGATACCAGAAGTCTCCATGCTATCATAGAAATTATAGCATCTCATCCTTGCTCAAAGCAAAAACATTCTTCTTTTGGAAAATATGTGGTTCAATGTGTTTATGTATTCTTGTATTTTTTTTTCATATGACTGTGGTATACATGACTAGTAAGCATTGTTCTTGCCATATCTAGATCAGCCAGAAAATCTTTGCTTTATTTTTTACTCATCTTTATAAAATAAAGGGCAGACTGACACAAAGAGGATGTGCACTTGATTAACATAAATTCAATGTACTAGTGAAATATCCTTGATGCAATGCATTTTCTTTGATGAGTCCTATTAAGCACCTTGCTCTTTATGTACCTTGGATTAACCTATCTCAGGACTTTATCTCCCTAACTAAGGGTGTCATGGACAGCTTTAGTAAAGAAGTATTACCAAGTCAAGCCATACTGTCAATCTGAGGAGTATGCTGATTCTAAATTATGCCCAAAATATTGGCACCTCCAGTTACATGGAATAGAAAAACAAAGGAACAGAGGAATTGGAAGATTGGTGAGAGCAATGAAAAAGAAGACAAGGGCTTAGAACACATATGAAAAGAAAGACTGGTTGATCAATTTCAGAGTAGCAAATGTCACTGCAATCATGCAATGGGTATCAGTCTCATAATCTTGAGACTTTTTTTTATTGTTGAAGATGCTACATTTCCATTGCTTAATAAATGTAAAGGAGTCCAGCTAACCAGTTGATCTCAGAGGAAACCCATAGCTTGTCTTTTTATGCCATATATGAGTTCTTTTCCCAGGCTTGGGCCTTTGTGGGAAGTAGGCACACTTGTTTATTGATGCGCCAGACCTAATGACTAAAACCTGCACCTTTCTTCTGTTCCTAAATAACTCTGTTGCTATTTATTCAAGGGTGTAGAAAACAGAATTAGAAATATTTAGGCAAGGAAACTGCATTACTCTTGAGAGAATTATCGAACAGCCTCCTTATCTTTCTGCCAGAGGCCAGGCTGAGTGACATTGGCTATGCTGAGAGAACATTCTCTAAGGAAATTCAGCATTTTTTTGTAGTAGGAAAGTTGGAAATTACACCCATTGTTAGAATAGAAGCTTTAAAAAGATTATAGTAAGGGATTAAAATTACTTACAAATCATACATTCCATGTAATTGTGGTTCATGATGGATAGAAATGGGCTTCAGGACATCTAATAGCTAACTTCTTTTTACTACGACTGCTCAAATGAGATGACCCCCAAGATCAGAGACTGTTTTAGCTTTGTTTCAATGAAAATCAAAGGCATTATTATGGCTGCCTATAACCATTCTATTAGTAGATACTTATTTATTAAAATTGGAGATTTTCAAGCACACAAAGTATGTCTAAGGAAGAGTAGGAAGAAACAGTATTCATTATGATCAGTAACCATTCTAAGTAGTTCATTTTTTTTTAATCTCCGATCCTAAATTATGAAGAGAATGGAATAGTCTATACCCAGCCTAGCATGAATGTGAGCCATAGGAATTTGTGGACAATTTTCCAAGGTTCCATCATTTAATTTTCAATTAAAAAACTACATAGAACAGTGACCAGAAACATTCAAATGTACCTACTACTGTTTTCCTATTAAAGTTATCAAATTCTACATCCAGTTTACTTCTTAAAATGACAAGTATATGCCATACAGAGAAATTGTGTAATTAAGGGAAAACCAAACGATCACATGACATTCCCATTTACATGGCTCCCATTGAGGAAGGATGTCAGAGCAAACTAAATTTGCTTAGAAGATTGTATTCACAGTGTGAAAACGGGTTTTGAATTCAACTCCTTCTATAAAAGCTTTATTCTTAGTACGTAAAGAAAGTTCCGACTTTGCTGTTTTCATGTCCCTAATTACATGCTCAAATCGATCTAATGAGTTTCAGCTACAGACCAATTTCTCATTTCTTTCATGAATGAAAAAGAAGATGATGTCTTAAGTTTCGGTCAGACTCTCTAACACAAGTACAACAGGAAGGAAGTATAAACTGTAAAGTGCCTGCATAGTTACAACGGAACCAGAGAACAAGAAGTAGCTTCAAAGGGCTGTGTTTTTGGGCTGACACAAAAATGTTTGAATTTTTCTGCTGTATTAATGGTTACTCATGGTGTCCACAAAAGAAGACCTTCTCTTAGAATTTTTAACAGTCCTGCCACAAAATTTCATAATGCAGGCCTTCTGGCCAGCACAGGGTGATCTTAGAGAAAGCAACGCAGTTAAGTGTGTGCAAACACCAACTGTGAGAGCTCTTTAAAACATAGGATGCTGTGTCAAAGCTGGGACCTTTAGATTTAGTTGTCTCAGGTGATAATTTGGAAGTTATATTTCTGGAAAATCTTGGGGAATAATGATTCCAGGGTTGCTGTCATAGGTACCACACACCAAAAGCCACTGAGTGTACTGTGGGCAGGACAGCAGTAACCTCTGAGATACTTCTTTTAGATGAATTTTAATCAAGTATTTCCATCAAGAGATATGTGTGCCTTTGCGCAGGTGTGTGTACATGGGTTAAAAAAGAGAGCAGTCTGGGTTCATCATCAAGTATATTTTAGCTATTGTTATTACCATTATTGCTAATCGAGGCTGTGTGACATGGGAGTAATATTGGATTTGGTAAGAGTGTTCACTAAGAGGTACAAACAAACAAACAAAACAAAAGGTCTAAAGGACAATTCACATTTCCAACCTGCAGACACATTAATACACACAAATACTCATTTACCCCTGAACATGAAACTCAGAGACTTGCTTTACTAGTTTCTAAATTCAATGTTAATGAAATACATTGTTTTCTTCTCATAAAGACAAAATATATCCCTAACCATCATTTTAGTATCCAAATTGTCACCTGTGTGTAGGCTCTGTCCAGCTTCCACTTGCTAGGTGGGACCATCAACTCAAGGCTAGCTTTATCTTACTTTTTCCCTACTGAGCAAGGAAAGGGTTTAGTCTCTATTCCTCACCTGTCAGGTTTACTGCTCCATATAATGCAGCACAAAATAAATAAATAAAATAAATAAAAAATAAAAAAAGGAAAAAAAAAAGAAAGGCTTAATGTTAGTTGGCCAATGGTAACAAGAGTAACCATGACAACCAAAAGTTTTCAAAAGTAGTGCTCACAAGCAGAGACACATAACTCAGATGTATTATTAAACAATAGTGCATCAAAATGTTTACAGGCCTCTAATCATGAGTAATGGGAGGCCATGAGACTATCACTGAATAAAGAATGCATGGCTTTCAATGGCACTTTTACTTATTATTTATCAAAAATTGCTGCAAAAATTAATTAATTAATTCAGCAAGTATGATGACCAAGAAATTCAATTTTTAATAACTCAGGAAAACGAATAATGTTCTTAATGAAAATACAACAGAATTTCATAACCATAAAGTCTTCTGCTAAGAACTATGTTCATTACTTTACTGATATGAAATTCTGTAAATTGCATTGATCTACATAAAATTTTGAACATTGGAACATTATACCACAATGAAATACAGTAGCAGAAATAATTTTTCCAACACTTCTTGAAAAGTAAGGCAATCATGAATCTTTTTTATAATAATGGATGAATTATATTTTAAGTCTTGGAAAACATAATACTTGTGATTATAAATCCAATGTGCATGACCCTTCTTTACAGCTAACTCACGGGAGCATCTTATTTCTAGCCATTGAAAAGACAAGACATTTCCTCATGAGAGTGCTACTTTCTGCAAACACATCCACTGGTCACTCATAGGTGCTTCCACCTGTGATGATATAGTGACTATTAAAGTATGCAAATGTTTTCCAGAAAGAAGTAATCTGAACAATATTCATTTGAAGGCAACAGATAAAGTGATTTGTGTTGTAGACAACGGGTACTACAGACAAGGCAGTCCACTGCTCAATGAAAGAAAATAAAAAATTCACATTTATCTGTATAAACACACACAGTGAATGATGACAATGATGTCACACTTACTTTGTTTAGTTCTTTCTATTCTTAAATGTAAAGTGATTTACCTAGCGTCCTGAATTCAAAAATAACAAACAGTCAAACAAGTAAAAACCCAACCTTTCTCTCTTACTTTTTAACCAATGAGTTTATCAGAGACTGAGGTGTAGGTAATCTCCGGGTGGAAGAGAAAGGCTTCTTGAGAATTTACATGAAAGGATGGAGAGTTAACTAACAGAACACTTCTACCAGATGGCTTGATATGGCTGAATGTGTATTCAGATCTGTTTAAACATTCACTTTTGAAGGCCTGAAAATCAGGTAAATTTATATCATAGGGCAAGATGAAACTGACAGTAATAGAATAAACAGCTGGAGAAAAATAACTTTAATATTATTGAACATGTATAAGGGCATTTATTCAATGTAGCTCTGTTGTGGGTACTTGGGTGTCAATGAGAAATAAGAGTCAAGATAAGATAATGGGCAATTATAGAAATGCTACAGTTCTATCATCCATAACTAGAACTTCAAGCCCATAGGAGGAAGCCAAAGAATAGCCTAAACAGAGGGAGGAGAGGAAGGAGCTTAGTCATAGCAGGAGATGATCAAGATAGGAGGAGTGGCCAGGAATGAAGAACGGGACTCCAGGCAGGGTAGGCTGCTGTGTGCTGGGAGGCAGAGACAAGCAGCCTTAACTCTGTGCTGAGCATTGGCTTAGATTTCTTTATGAGGTATAATGGCTGTAATGATATACTGATGATCATTCAGAAACACCTGTAACTTGGTGCTAAAACAGGAGAATAGCTGAAAAAGCTAAAATTAGTTGTTTTTTCGGATCTACCTCATGATTTACACACATAAGCAACAGAGAAAAAGGGTGGAATTTTCTTACTTCATGGGCTACAACTAGCATATCCAAAGGTACTATTTCTGGTAATAGTATGCTTGCATTTCTCTTGCCTCATATTCTGCAGGATATTTCCTACACCGTGCCACACAGAAAAATCTACTATCGTCTTGAGATATTTTTGCATAAAGTTAATATTTTATTTAAAAATATTTACTTTCTATATAAGTAATTTTCAAGACATATTAGAACTAATTAATAAGTTTATATATGCAGCTGTGCAGAGTAGATGGATGTGGAAGAAATGAGTGGCCTGATGACTTTTAACTGTCAGTGGTAGATGGATTATGGGAAGCTGGGTCTATACATCACTATTAGACAAACACATATACATATAAAGTAGAAATAATATAAGACCATTCCTATTACTTCTTTATGTTCTCAGATTATGGAATAGTATTATTAAAAAAAACTCACTTCTCTAGTTCATTTATTTTCTTAGTAAATAATGACGTTGTGGTGTTGGCCAGACTTTCTAGCACTTCATCTGTAGAAGTTGACCTTGACCACAGGGCTCCTGATTTATATCCCAGTGTTTTCCTAGGCTTTGTTAGCATCACATTTATGAATTTATATGTTGAGTCACTGGATGAATGAATTATGAAAGTCTTTACAAAGAAATCCTAGTAAGAAGTATTTGTAACACTGTAAATCTACCAATTGAAGTTTAATATTCTTCAGAGTCAGTACATGGTTTAGAGCCCTTACAAAGTTTCAGTGATACTTTTTTGTCACTGGTTATCAGTATATTCTAGATATAAAAATTAAGAGAATAAAAAATTAAAATTAATAGAGTAACATAAAATAGTGTCCTTTTCTCACATCAATATGATTAGTAAGAGAATTTCTCAAAGCCTCAAGTCGCTGGGTAAAATACACTTATTAATATGGCAACCCATCTATGGCGACTGACTCTTTCACAAGTGATCATGCTAGGGGCAGGTGTATTTGGTAAACGTAATTTTCAAGTCAGTGTGGCCCCATTCTGGCTTATGCCATTGAGGTCTTTGAACATTATTTGCATAAGGATATAAAATGTTAATATTTTCTTAATTATAGTAATAGCAACAATACCTTCATTTTGAGATATATATATATATATATTGTGAAAGGCACCTAAAAGAGGGAGTGAAGTAGAGATTATATAATTAACTCTGCTCAGTATCTAAGCTATAAAAGACACCATTCAATGAGTACAGATTTCTTCTTGAACTGCCTCATGAAAATGAAGAAGGTTGTTGAGGGTTGTTGAGTCTACTTAAATTTCAAGTCAGGAACATGTTTTAGTGCTGAAGCAAGCATTTCTATTTCAGAAATGCTCCATGGCCTTCAGATGGCTAGCTAAATATACTTAGCATTCGAGGATGTATGCATTTTCCAACAATCACATTAGACGATGCTCACATGTGCACATACGAAAATGCAACTCATTTAACAGAGACATGAAACCTAAATAAGATACTTCCTCTTGCAGGATTAGGGAAAATTATAAATGAGCTGTTTTTTTTTTCGAGCATATGTAGATGAATCAAGGAAAATGTCATTATAGTTTTTAAAACTTATCAAGGTTATGGTTCATAATTTATACATTTATATAATTGGCTTATACATACAATATGATTACTTACTAATTGCCTCACATATCATAATAAAACATGATCTGAAAATGATTCATGCATTCTGTTCATTTTGAATATAAGAAATGTCACATGACCTGGCCTAGAAATGGACCTTGAACAAGTTTTTTATTTTTGTTGATGTTTTTGTTGTTGCTTTTTGTTGTAGTTGTAGTTGTTGTTTTTATGGCCAAATTCCAGTTTAGGATGTGACCATTTGGATAAGTATCATCCAGATAATAATAAGAAGTCTAATTTTTTCAAGACAGGGTTTCTCTAGCTGGTTGTCCTAGAACTTGCACTGTAGATCAGGCTGGTCTGCTTGCCTCGCTTCCAAGGTATTTTCCACTACCCCCGGGATGTAACTTAGATTTTTATAAAATCTATTCTGTCTTTTAGGTTATTACCTGTAACTGACATACAGGGAGGAGAACCAACTGCAGCTTTGGCTTACATAGGATTCATAAATTACTTAGAATACATGAGTATCACCTTTCTCCTACTTTTGTGTTGTATACAGAAGATAGGTGAGAAAATACAACAGCCTCCATAAGATGCACACTGCTAAGATGAGGATTGGTATGAGAAGACTCAAACCATCAACTAAGAGCAGATTCTGTCATTGACCACTGATTCTCTATTATTCTAAAGCTTGATAAATTTCATGGTGGCAGTGATCTGGATGGATAACTAGGCATATTTATCTCCTTCTTCTTAACCCCAAGACAGAATAGGCAACTTAATGAATCATGATTATGAGGTCTGCTATGTCTTTAATCATTTCAACTTTCTCTCCATGTAGAATGAATAGAATACATCCTTACAGAGTTTGTCGGAGAAGAATTAAAGATGATGAAGAAAAAAACAAGCCTATTCTATGAACATAAGCACAAGGGAATAAGGGTAGAAATGACAAGATGCTAATCAGGGTGGTACTGAGACATCTGAGGACTGTGGTTACAATTTGTTTCAATTAGAAGTCAACACTTTCTGATCACCCCTTCTTGAACACTGATGTAAATTTAATAGTGAATATTTGGAATAAGATTCAGAAAAAAATGGGAAGGAATTCATTCTTTTTTTCTTTTCTTTTTAAAAAATCCTTAAACCATTCAGTTGTATTTGTTAAATCATAAGAGATAAATATAAGGAAACATTTTAGCCCAGGTGCACATTAGATTTATGAAACCTGAACATCTAAAACCCAAATTAAAGCTTACATAGAATGGGCTGTTTAGGTGGTACTAATATCTTGCTATCATGAAAACTGGTCATCACAGTGCATCACAGAAGATGGAAGCTGAGAGAGTGGATGCTTACAATTAAAAGACCATACCATTAGCTTAATCATCTCAGCTTGTTTTAGGCATGACAAAAGCATGTTTTCCAATAATAGTTACTGGGCAGTCTTAAAATATATAATATCTACCACACAACCACAAGAATATAATTTATTCTACTAAGTCAAAGTAGTCTTCAAAGTCACAATTAAAATATAGAGCAGGCCTACCTTTTATAAAGAAGAATAGCAATCACAATACAGATGATAAACACCACCGCAAGAACAGGACCTACGACCCATATCAAGCCTTCCTCTTCATCTGTAATTGGCTGTGGATCCAGATCCATTGACACAACAGGGTCGGAGTATGGGCTGGTTGCATACATCTTCTGAGGATAAGCAGAGTCCATTTTAGTTAGATAATGTCTTTCTGAAAGGTATCTTAAGCACTAAGATGAGAGAAAATATAATGATATGCATTTGATGACAGGCTGATAACATCATATTGCTGGAGAAAAACTGGGAAAAGACAGATGGGTTAAAAGGAAGCAAATAAAACCACACATGTATGAGATGAAGAAGGATATTTTACAATGATAGAAATTATATATATATATAACAAAATCATTTTAAATGGTGTGACTTCAAATGTATTTTGTTCATAGAATTTACAAATATAATTTTATGAAGTCTAAAATACCAATGAGCAAGCTTAGTCAGTCTTTCTAAGAAAATCCCCAACAAGTCATAAGAAGCCTTCTTTTGGGTTCTTGCTGGTGGTTATCCAGGAAGTTTCCTGAAATGCTGTTGCCCTTGGATGTCTCTTAGAGGTGGACTGTAAGTTCCAGTTTCTAAAGACACATGTACTAAAGACATGAGACTCAGAGTACATGAGCTGGATCTGACTTGAAACTCTAGTCCTTGAAGAATAATATTCATAGTACCAGATGTTTCTACGGGAGGGAAGCTTCTAAGGGAGGGAAATAATCAATATTCCCATCCAGATGTGATGCCGATGAAGCACAGGAACCAACATGGCATGATACCTCTAAGGATACAGTAGTAGCACAGATACTTTGGTAGTTACCAACAATACTTGAACTGGACTTAAGACCTCTTCATAAAGAGAGAAACATACCTGGTACTGGAAACCTAGCTAACAATCTGCAGCTAGGGACACCACAGATTTTGAAAGAGTTTCTATAACATTTTCAACTGATATGTCTGCAACACTATGTCTGCACCTAAAACACAGGGATCACTGTTGGAGAGGGAGCAGAATTAGTGTAATAGACAGAGGAACAGTTAGTTTCTATGAGATAGTGTTCCCTTTACAAGGCAGAGAAACTCCATTCATGAAATTCTACTAATATAGCTGTCTAATACGAGACCCAAATGAATAAAGATGACATCAATAGACATGTTAATGTAGAAGGGGGAATCTTATAAGGTTTGTACTCTGTAAAAATTATTAAAAGTAACTAAGGAATGTTGAGAGGAGGAGAAATCATGTTTTCTATGAAAGAGCACACAAATTGGTTAGCCAATACCAGATGGACATTCTATATCAAATGGTCATCTCTGAAAACATATTCATACAAGTAATATTATACTGACTGAGGAGGTTGTATTTATATATTTAGGAATACACACACACACACACACACACACACACACACACACACTTGAAAACAATGAAAGAAATGAGGTCATGAATTTGAGAGAGAGCAAGGAGAGAACATTGAGGGTTGAAAGAGGGAAAATAATGTAATAATATTAATGTCAAAATAAAGATTTTTAAAAAGCATTTAAAAACATTCAATGAGCATTTATGTTGTGGTAATATCTTAATTGTTATGTAAAAATAAAGATAGTAGAACTGAAATAGTAGAATTAGTTTAAAAAACTGTGAGTCCTGGATCTGAAATCCAAACAATTTTGATTGATTTCAGGCTATCTTACAGGTTTTTGAGTTAGGACTGTGAAAACCTAAGGAAACATTCCATTGAGTAAGCAGGAATACTCTGAAATCAGAACCACTGTAGTTTAAAGATCTTAGACATGAGACAATCCATTTCATGAAGTTATAGAGATTTCCCACAGAAATGGCAAACATTTCTCTAGGAAACCAAACTAATGTCTAATGCAAAGTTAGACCACACCAGCCCTTCTCAGCACTCTACATTTTCAGGGCGTTTAAGTCTACAGTTACAAAAATGAATGCTAATATTTAAATTAGATATTAAGATTAATGGATTGGATTACACAGCTTTTGAAAACAAAAATTATTCAAATTTAGAGGGATTTAGTAGCTTCTACTTATGACAGCCAACCAATTAGAAGTTCATATGCTTTCTCCAGAAGGAACTCTATCACATATCTTCAAAACTCAGTTACTTTGTAAAGAATGGGCTTTGGTTCTGTAATGTCCTATTTCTGTCTATTTTGTCCCATTTAAAATGAAGCATTTTCTTGACTCTGCCCTTTTAAGTTCTGTTTTATTTTTCTAGTCCACAACTCAATTTACACCCACTGGCTCCAGGTGTCTCCTTCCTCTTACGCATCTGTTTTCACTTATAACTGTGACCTGTACTGTTATTTTCTCATTTACTAAATCTAATTGTATTTCTTCAGACCTTGGGTTTAAAGTATCTTTTAGACTTGCCTCAGTTGAGCAAGACTTAATAACTAACTCCCTTCCTGACATTCTTGATTCTGTATTTCACCAGCTCCTTCCTAATCTTTCAAATTTAATGAGCCCTGTGAACTCACTGACTGACTTTCTGGCCCAGCATAACAGAGCTTTTACTTTCAGTTGCCTGGGCATTCAGGTTCAAATGAAGAGCTTCCCTTCCCTTTGTTTTGACTCACACTTCCCTAAGTTTTCACTGTGAAAATAGTCTACAGGTTTGACTTTGTTAGTAACCTAAGGTCAAACTGTTGGTCTCAAAGACACCACTTTTTTTTTTTTTTTTAGAACTTCATTCATTCTCTCTTGTCCATACCCAAAGTCTGCATTTTATTAATTAGAACTGCCAAGCCTTTGAGAGGCTTTCTGTTAATATCTCTAGGACGTCTGGATACCTTACTATAGTTACCAGAAGCTTTAGCACTTTTACTTTAAACATCCTTATCATATTTAACAATTCTATTACAGTGAGTTTTGTTGCTGCATCCTAAATGTTCTATCCCTGCTAATTAACATATTTGCAAGTTCTATAACATTTAGCTCCTAAAATACAACTACTTTCTAAGGACCTGCTTACACACTGCCTTGTTCACTGGAGGAATTCAATCCTAACAAGAACCGGATAAGAACAGAACAATTTTATTTAGTCATTCATTTCTTGTTTAATGGCCTTCAAGAGATTCTATTTTTAAAAATTGTGTACATATATTTTGTTTTCTGAGATGAAAGTAAATTCCTGGAAGATTTGGGATATATATGCTCTTTGTGTTTATTTGTTCAAAGTGGCTAGCATTCTACATTGTATTTAGAAAGTTCTCAGCAAATTTTTGCTGAATAAAGTAAATGAGACAATCAAAAAAAAAAAAAAAACCCTCATCCTTTCAAGAGACTGAGAATGCTAAGACATGAATGGATATAATTTGTTCAAGATAAGCAAATTTAGTTAAGTTTTTAACCTCCTTTTCACAAACGTACTTAAGGCACATATTTTGAATTTCAGTACAAGATCAACAGAGAACATGCTCCACTGCATACCTGAACTTTACTATTGCTTTCTATTTTATTTACTTCCCAGAAGAGAGGTTAAAAAGACTTTCAAGATTTTCTATTTATCAAACAGATGAAAACTCAGTGTATTTTTTGAACTTTCTGAGATGTAACTGAAAGCAAGAGAAAAAGGAAGGAGGAAGTCTTGGAGCACGGATATATATGTATGTATATATGTACATGTATGCATGATTTGTAAATATTACATATATTACATAATAATTTGCATAAAGAACTGGGGATTGAGCTTATATATCAAAGAATATATATGTTTGTTTTGGTAGGATCCCGTCCATTTTGTTGGCTAATCTTAATTGATGTTGAGGTAATAATCAAAATGCTCAGTCACAATTGAAATGTAAAGATGGGCTTTCAAAAGCACATGGGAATTTCTAACATAAGTCATGAAAGAGATCTATGTTAAAATTAAAAAAAAAAAGCAGAGGCATAACATTTTATACTAGCCTCGTGGAAAGTAGAATTTGCTAAGTGGAACAAACTAATAGAAGAGATTAAAACATTATATCATTTAAAACCAGTTTCTGATATTCTTAATAGGAGGCAACAGATTAACAAAAAGCTCATTGTTGCAGGAAAGAGGTAAAAAACAGTAGAGACATGTTTTTTGGTTCTGCAAAATGCTAACCATGAATTGGAACAATTATAGCTATTATTACTAATCAGGTCTAGAGATGTGAAGCTTCCAAAATGGACCATGGCACTGCAAACTGGACACAACCATCTGCTATGAAGTGAATACTGGCACAAGCACACATGACTTATAGGGACAATATTGTTAATATAATGGATCATAGTTGGGATCAAGATCTCATGAAGAGAGAAAGCCTTTACGCCCTAGGAGAGAACCTACTACTATTATTCCATTAAATGAACACAGTAGTATATTGACTCCTAACAAGTCACCCTTGTATTCATGTATTAGTGCATGTCTCAACTCTCATAAGAGAAACTTCTTTTTCTTGTAGGAGGTGATTAACATAAGGACCCATGATTGGTCAGCATGCAAGATACTAGCCTTAAATGAGCATCTATATCAATTATATCCCCTGTCCTCAAGGCTCAGAGTTTACCATGAAAAACTGAAAGACGTAGTGATAGTGAAGAGGTCAGCTCAAGAACTTTGGAAAGGTCATGGGACACTTGTCTCTCTGGATGGGAGAGGCTAATTAACATTACTTCCGTCAGGGGGACACTTGCTCCCCCTATAAGGGAGAAGCTGATTAACATTCCTCAGACCACAGGTGAGGGAACCCACCTGTGGGTGGGGAAGGCTCAGATCAGGTAGACACATTCCACAGGAAGGACCAACCCTTGCCACCTACAGACAAGGGAGGTCCTTGCCACCTTATTCCCAAAAGACAGATCAGTTTAAAAAGTCACACTGCTCTGCCAATCACATTGTGCCTAACAACTGCTGCCCTAAAAATTGTATTAAAAACTGGCCAAATGGACCACCTGGGGTCACCACTTCTCCTTTGGGTGCAGGATGACCCCAACTCGTTGAGACAATAAATTCCTCTTGCTTTTTGCATTGATTCTTGGCTCCCTGTGGTTAATTCAGGGGTCCCTGGTAAGCTAAAGCTCGCCAGAGTCTTACAATAGTGGATGACAACAAGGAAAGAGTGTTTTCCAGACATATCAATTCAGCAGTGAAAGACATATGGAATCTCAGACAAGATAAAATCATAGCACGGTAGTATCTAATGGGAAACAATGTCCCGCCCCTAGATGAGAAGTTATTGGCAACTGGCATCTATTGGAAAAAACAGTCATTTTTCTTCAAGAAAGTAGGACATGAGAGCTACCCATACCCCAGGAGATGGCAATTTGAGATAGTGAAATGTTAAAATTAGAGGGATGCAGATTTCATCAGTGAGGTGACATCTGGACAAGAATGGGAATACTTGGGAGACAGCAGACTCCATAGTGCCCAAGGAAGGCATTATCACCATTCTGCTGGATTGGGTGAGAAGCCTTTGCTAAATTCTGTGGTTTACCTAAGTGTTTTAAGTGCATCATCTGAAACATTCCTAGATTTATATAAAGAAATTTCCTCTCAAGTATCTATTTCATTTTTAAAGAAAAAATGATTTCTAACACTCCATCCCCCCGATGATACTTTACTTTAAAAGATTCAACTAGATAAGAGAGAACATCCTGATGTATTGAAATTCCAGGAAGGCAATCAAATGACATTTACACCCAAAGGTAAATGAGGCTACTTTTGTGTTCTGATTTTCCCATGGGATAATTTCTCTAGTCATCTGAAGAGAGGTCTTACTGTACAGAAGAGCACCTGATACACAGACCTTTCATAAATTGTGGGCTTCTCAAATAAAGAGAACAGCTCAACTCACTTGTCAGACCTGTCAGATTTAAGCCTTGATTAGGACACAGTTAGGCATAAATCTATTAAATGTTAATGTGAACTGCCACTTTAAACATCTACCTTCCTTCCAGTCTACTGTTTCTCCCCCTTTTTCTTTTATTTAAAGCATTCAGAGCAACTGAAGCATAAAATGACATAGGAGGTAGATGAATTACATAAAACAAGACAACTTATTATTAGAGTACCTTACAAATTCTCATTCTTATTGAATTATTCTGTAACTTTCTTGGATTTTCATGATAAAGTCACTCATACTTCCTATAATTGAAGAGGCTGGTTGTACTCACCTTTCCCTAAATTCACTGTCTGGTGAAGCTGGATAGAAGCACTGGGTACTCATGGTTACAGGAGAATAAGTTATATAACTACTCTAGTTCATGTTTTCAAACATGCTACTTTTGTTTCCTAGTAAACCGTATGAGCTAATGTCTTCAGGATCATGTAACTTTAAAACAGTATTTTAAAAATGCAAATCAGTTTAAACAGAGTGAAAGATGGGGGATGCTTAGAGATTATGGAGGGAATGCTACACTGTGTGTTACATAGAAAAGTCTGGAGACTTATGCTCTATCAATCTGGTACTTCACATGGGAAATTCCTTCATCTGAGATACGATCTTATTTATAAGGTAGTATTATGCAGAACATTCATTACGTTTAATAATACCAGAAGGACAAGCAGCTCAATGTTTTACTTCCATTAATGACATCTGATGAGAAATACATGGGGGTATATGAAGGCACATACACATGCACAGTGGTAAAAATGAAAAGGAGTAGGAAACAGAGGCCATCATAATTAACTTACAGACTCTGCATGGTCCATCACTGCTAACACAAAGAAGACATATTCTTGTCCACTTTGGAGTTGTTTGTTCGTAAATCCACCATAATGTTTGTCATCCCCCAGGGTGAACTCAGTGGGAAGGACATCAAAGTGAGCAGCAATATATGGCTTTAATTCAACTTCTCTTCCATAACGGATGCTTCTGCGTTTTCTAGATATCTCCTTAAGCAGCTTAAGGGAAAAGTGACAAACAGAAAAAAAAAGAAACATAAACAACCAACTTCTTGATGTCTTAGAGGAGAAATTAATCTAGGACTGGGAAGAACCTGATAGAGTTTGTTCACCTTTCCTGCAGCAGATCAACTCAACTGACTCTTCATTGTGATTTTCAAACACTTGCTTCCTCTTAGGTAAGATGCTAAACTGATTTGAAAGAACCAGAGTATAAACACAGGCCATTAGACCTTCACGGGAAGCCCACATAATTTCCTACAGTAGTAAAATTCTTCAAAAGGCCAATACTACATTGCATCCTGTTTAAGGAAGAAGCACAGCTTGATGCACAAAAGCCTGGTCTCATGGGAGATACATGACACAGTTAGTAACCAGTCAAAGCTATCTACATGTGAAAATATTATATTTTTATAGAAGATGCCACCATTTTATTAGGGGATCATTTAAGTGATTTACATTCTCTGAAGTCTGCAGACATGGAATCTAATGAATAACTTTGATTTACCTATTCTAAGAAGTCATTGTCACTCATTTCCACATCTGGCTCAGCTTACCTCTTTCATTAAGCAATTTGGAAGAGACTCTTGATTTTTTTTAAGCACTGAATTAACTTTTCGTATAATCTACCTCTGAGGAATAAGTATATAGACAGGTGACATGGTCAGTAGAATGGGTAAGAATAAATTTCAATATCATGAAGGAACGAACCTCCCCCCAACACACACTTTTTATATTTCTAAGGAAAAAGAAAATCTAAAATTAATGTTTAAGTAATTTATTGCTTTTCATTGCCTTTCCTTGGAAGAAATTCTCATTAATGATATATGAGAATTATTTCAAAACAATGCAAAGTTATTTTATAGAGTCTAAGTGAGAAGTAGCCTCTATTTGTCTTGGGTGACTTTTGAGGAAAGTGCTTTATGTTTAGCGGCTTTTTGGAAAGAACTTTTGTTTAAATGTTTGTGAAGAAAGGGGGATGTATCTGAGGAGAAATTGGACAAAGTCTGTGTACCTGAGGACAAACATAACCTTTATCCTGGTAAACAAAGTTAAAGGACTTATGTAGATTGGGCAGCAAAACTGTTCTGCTTGGTTTTTGTGTTGGAAAGAATACAGTAAAACCAAACTGGTGAAATTTACTTTGTCTAAAAGAAATGCTGGTAAGAGATGGAGAAATAGATGGTTCAGCAGTTCAGTACTCTGGCTGCTCTTTCAGTAGACCTAGGTTTGGCTCCCAGAATCCAAAGAGTGGCTTACAAACATTTATACATCCAGTTCCACAGGATTTAACATATTCTTTTTGTCTCTGTGGATACCAACATGCATTTGATGAAGAGTGACACATGCAAGCAAACACTCATAAAATAAAATTTTGAAAAACCAAAGTAATAAATACTGGCACACTCAAGGCAAGACTCGTAAGAAAATGATTATTGGCCTTCTCTAAATTCAAATGGTTCTGTCTCCAACCACAGGCAATACAGTGTGTTTTACACCAAGAGTCACAAATGTGCATAGCTGACTCAAAATCTAATAATGTGGAAGACAAGCTTCTAGCTATGAAATAATTTGTTCCTAGGACATATATCAATAATATTTAATTTATCGTGCTCTAAAAATGTCTGTGAAATTTGAGCTTATTGCTTCAACTAAAATTATATGAGATTTAAGGCATGTACAGAAGCTCACAGGATTAGATATGCTGTGTTTTGCAAATGTGGATTGAAATTCTACGTATTTATGTATCTATGTAGACATCCAGGTGGACCACTTAATTATGCTTCAACTTCTCAGATGAAAGAACAGAAAATTGTCTTTTGTTGTCACACATAGGCTTACATATAATGATGATGATGGCTGCATCTTAAGTAAGAACTTATTGGCTACTAGACACTCTTTTAGGATGCATAAATTGGCTTCACAAAATAATCATGTAAAATAGATCACAATCACACCCAATTCTAAGTGAGAAAAGTGGGTATGATAGAATGGTTCCCTGTATGAATAGGCTTGATGGGTAATACAAAATTTAAACCATCCATGGGAGAGATGCATATGAGAGATTTTCCACCCAATTTTTACATAATCTAATTTTGACACAAAATCAAGAAATCTAATGCCATGTTTAAGTGCTGACCATTTGAATCACTTTTATTCAGTTAGCATATAGGTAATTTTTGTATATCTGCTTTCATTAACATAGATGAATATCATCTTTCCTTTTAATGTATTTTTACATGCAAATTATAAAACTATAATGCCAAATAATTAATATAATATCAAACTTGAAAGGTGACTAATAAGGTTATTGGTAATGTTCAGTACATGACTGTCTATATAACTCTGGGGAAAATGCACTAGAAATGCTATGAATAGTCTTTTGAAGTTGGTCAATCGAAAACACTTACCATCAGTTGTTTATGTGACTGTATCCCTGCTTCTACTTCACTGATCAAACCCTACCTACATTTCAGATATAGGCAGCTGTCATTATTCATCAATATCATCCCAAAGATCAGAATTTGCTAGGGTTTATTTAGAAAACATAAACTAAGTGCCTCAGGATTAAATATTAAATCAGTTTGGTGTTCTTTAGGTTCAGTGCAGTCATTTGGTGAAGTTAAATCCGGAATAAGACCCTGTCTCCAAAGAGTACCCTTTTAGGATGTTTCCAGTGTGAAACTTTAAATAGATTAAGTAAGTTTAAATGATACCAAAGTTAGCCACAATGCTGAAATTATAGCCACATATGACCTCATTACTTTATGACAGTGCTTTGAAGAATAGTGCAATGAAAAGCTTTGGCAGATTACCTCATTTGCCCTGAAATAAATACAACGAACACTGGGGAGTCATTCTGCCCAAAATTCATTACAACTATCAAGGCCTATTCTGCTCAGTTTGACCTTGAGAACAGGAATTCTAGTATATGAATTTATCATTCAGCTAATAGCCCAGACCAAAAAAAAAAACGATCTCAGAATATAATTTTGAGAGTAACTCACTTAAAAAGCCTTTTTAAAATCTTGTATGGACCTAGATGTGAGGCATATGTGGGGAAATCCCATCAGGCCATCGTTCTACTTGGTGTATTTCCAACAATGTGAATTAGTGAACTATAGGCCTTGCTGAAAAAATACTTGGGCAAATACATTTAAGCAAAGCACATTGCTTTGTCAAACCTAGCAGCACAAAATTCAAAATAAAATTACTAAAATGTTTTGTCATACAACCAGGTAAAATCTATCTCTGTATGCAAGGGTCAGACACAGGCTGAGTAAGCAGAAAGGGCCATAGCCAATTCTCGTTTGATCCACTCCACAACAGTTACAAAATATATTAGATATAATTCCAGAAGTTATATCAAGGGCTTTAGTTCTTTATCAGAAATAATTTTCATTTTCCAGTCAATGCATATCTTATTTCTTCCACCATTAATTCTGCAATGTAGTCTCAATTATATCAGTAAGAAAAGTGGGAAACAACCCATCCTGACCCAAAAGTTGTGAATTAATAAAATGTTCTTTATCAAGCTATTATACAGATTAATGCACCACAACTCAAAGGATGATTAAAATGACCCTTTGTTATGGGAATCAGTAGCAGAGACCTGTGGAATTTAATTGAAACGAAGTTCAATGTCACATAGCCCTATATTTTAATCCATTAGCATTTCTGTGCATTCTAGAGGTTAAAACCTGGCTGCAAAGGAGAATCACTTTCCATTCCTTCCTATCAAATGGCTTCACATCTAAGAAAAGCATATTATTGAAAGCATTTGATGTCCCTTTTGCCTTGGATCTCAGTGCTTTGAAAACTCGTTTTAAATAGGTAGAACTATTTATAGATTCTCCAAGCTACCTTTGCATTTAAAAATCCAATTTCAACAAAAATGTGGAAATGACAATTCTATAACTCAGCTATGAACTATAGGCTGACAGGAGGCTAACTGCTCAGAGAAAGGATCCTGTTTCTCTAACATCATAACTGACAGAAAGCAAACTGACAACTAAGCTATGTGACCACATTACTGAAATGTGTCATTTTGTACTGTAGCCACATCACCTAATCACTAGACAGTGACACAAGCAGAGACCTGACCTTGAACTTGTCTAGCCTTAAGAGCCTGAACAAATTTAACTCATAAAATAGGTAGGCAAGGATGAGGCACACCTGTAGAGATGGTACACATCTATCATAGGATGTGAGCCCAACCCCACATCCCCCTTTGTTTCTGTTGGAAGACTGTCACCTTTGTGCAGACACAGTACAAAAACATCAACAATCACTTGTAATGTAGTTAGGGAATTAATCCTTGCCCTTGACCCATTTTGTACTAATCTGAAGTAGAAAAAATATACAGAAATAAAGTGATTATTATGAGATATGGATCATGTTGTAAAGGAACCACATAAATTAAAACTTCATATATCTTGATGTTGGAGGAACTTATAAAGTAGAACATTTTGTTTAAAAAAAAGTCTCTGTAGTATTTCAACTGTGACTCCTAGCCTCTGTAGGTGGCTATGGTCATGTTTGGGATCCAGGTAAATACTCTGTATCAGGTTTTGCACAATACAGAAGTATGTAATAGTTTGTTTTTAAAAGTTCAAACTAGGGAGGAGAAATGGCTCACCAGTTAAGAGCACTTGTTGCTCTTACAGGGGACACAGACTTCTTTCCCAGCATCACATGGAGACTCACAACCATCTGTAAGCCCAGTTCCAGGGGATCAAGTTTCCACAGGTACCATGAACACAGACAGACAGACAGACAGGCAGACAGACCGACACACACACACACACACACACTAAATAAACACACACACAGGAAAAATACCCATACTCATAAAACCAGACCATTTTACAAAGTGTCTGTGTTTCAAGAAGCAGCACTAAAATCATGTCGTCATAAGACTTTGGAGTGATGCCAAACTCTTCAGTGTTTGCTGCATTTTATACTACATTTCCTTCACTGGTCAGAATTTTGCCTTTTTCCCCCTGCACTGAACTTCACTTTGGTCTCTGAAAACCTACAGAGCAGAGAGTAAGGCAACTAAATGTTTGGGAGTCAGTAGGATTCTATGAAAATCTGCTAAATAACCTACAGCAGGTGAAATGTAGTGTGCTATAAAGTGCATTCAGCATTTAAAAGACCCTTGGCAACTGACAAACTAAGGCCTCTAGAAAATTTTTTAAGAGTAATGACATCCCTATCTCTGTATCATGGTTACAATGATTAGGTAGCAAAAGGACAACATAGATAAAACACACTGTAATCTTTTAATTAAAACAAAAGGATCTTTGATAGAATTCATAGAGTACAGCAAGCCGCCTTTACTGTTTCACTCAGTTTTCTAGACACCATAGCTGAGACCTGAACAAAGTGCTGAGAGTCCTCTTTAGAGTGACGACAGACAACAAAGACACAATTACCTCATCTAACTCCATTTCATCAGGGCTCTCCCAGGGCTTGATGAATTTCCCACGAGACTTCTTCAAAGGCACAATTATAATGTAGTAACCCCTGTTTAAGAATGAAGAAACAATACAGTTAGTTCAGAGAAGAGGGAAAATAGTTACAACCTTTAATCTTTTACAGACGACACATTAAGACGAAAGGAAAATTATGAATGTCGAGTGACTCATCTATTTTTTAGTAAGAAAAATTAACCACTTGTTTGTTTAATGAAAAAAAATATGTGGCAGATATCAATGTGTGAGCTTGATGACTTCATATGATAATTTCACATGGTTATCTGCTTATTATTAAATATCCCAAACAAAACAGATATTTTTGTTAGGATATAGACATACCCAAGCTGTATCGAAATCCACTACTTCAGACTGACCCACTAAACATTTTTAATATTCACTAATAAAAAGTTTTTTTTAATGAAGATAAGTAATAATATGGCAATTGTGTTATAAGCATCTATTATTTTGTACATATACAAAATCCTGTGTATTATATTTAAGTAAAAATGAAAGTGTGTTAAAGTCACTCATAATCTTATAATTACATAAAGATAAAAGTACAGTAAAAAGCTAACTAAACTGTAAAATTGTAAGTAGTACAGGTATTTGGAGACTATTTATACCTAAAGTCCTTCAAGATAGGACTTAGTGTAATAACATCTCCAAAAAGAAGTTCAAATGTTCCATACACTGAGGATGATCAACCAAAACATAAGGACTGCATAAAGCTCCATGTTCAAGACAAGGTTCACATTAGAATGAAGGTGCTCTGTATCCTCAGGATAGTACAGACCCTTCTCCTGCTTTGCCTGTACAAGAACTCTGTCTGTATCAGTGTTCAATATGAAAACTCTGCAGATGATAACTAATAATACAGCAATCACAAAATAATTTTCGGTATTGCAGTAAATGCACAATCTAGTTTTGCATTCTTACATCACAATCCATAAAAGACTGAAAGGGAAGAAGCTGGTCCCAGATAAAGGAAATAAGAACAATTAAATAACTGCCCAATTTAAGCAATGAGGGAATTCACTGAAACCTTCATGATGGTTTTTCATTTATTTTTTCATTTATTCTATTTCTGAAAATCTCATAATTTTGGTAGAGATTCATAGAAAAATTGACAACACATATACATCAACACAGGAGTGAATTTATATAATTTTAAAAGAGACAGCTATCACATGGGGCAAAGAAAAGCAAGGAGTAGGAGATTCCAGCCCTGTTCCATGAGCTATTTTTGAGTCAAAGGGGACGTAGAAAGCCTTCTCAGCAAACTCTTTCCTACAGAAAGGTTCTTCACATACATATCTTTTAGAGCTGAGCTGTCTAGAATGGTAGCTGTGAGACCTCTATGGCCATCAAGCATTGAAATGTGGCTGGTGAGAACTGAGATGTGCCATTATGTGTAAAAGTCAGTATAAAATTACAATATAGAGTATCTCAGTGATAACTGAGTTGTGATGACATAGTAACAAATGACAATAACATGGATATTTTGGGTTAAATCAAGTGCTGCTAAAATTAATCTCCCATCACCTTGCCTTTAAAAAATATCCTTAGTAGAAAATTGACCTTTTCATTCTTGATCTCACTCTATTAGTTGGGCAGTTATTCCCACAAGTATTCTGATAACAAACCTGTCACCTCATGATGTACCTTACCTGGAGTGGGGCTCTACTACTAATGGCTCAGAGTTCTTTTTAAACACTTATAAGAGCTCCTTTTTAAAGACTGCTTGTTTAACACATTGAGTTTCAGTTGTATATTCTGAAAAAAAGACTATGAGCCTGTTCTCTGGAGAACAGAATGTAATAGAACTTAAAGAGCTTGGCAGCCTGTGAAGCACATAGTACAAAAGAGAGGCCAGTGGATAGTGGCAAGGTTTCCACATTCTTCACTAGCACGTTCCAGATTTTACACCATACAGGTAAATGGACTTGTTAAACCCTTCCCTTAATCATGGATTCAATTCAAATCAGAATCTTTTCTCTGTGGTGCTCTCTGCAACGAATCCACAGATGTATAAGTTTCCAGCCATTCATTTTCTTTACTACAAAAAAGCATGATGATCAAGGAGGGTGAGGAGAAATAAGAGTTGGAGTGTGTGAAAGAGGCCAATATCTTTTATTTTATGATCCAGACTAAGTTTCTTCCTATTCACACCCTCCTACCACCTGAAGGATTTGCCAAACAAGTCCATCATGTTAAATGAGCACAGAGAGAATTGACAGAGCTGCAACTGAGCGTTCAAAATAACACTGCAGATGCACTTGATAAACACACTTGTCAAGAAGCCTCTTGATTTTCATCCCTGCGCAGTCAGGAGAGCTTCTCTTCCCACAACAATGACACGGAAGGGGTGGGGGGTGGTTAGCAGAGAGTGCCCATTGTTTCCCTGAAGGTTCTGATAGATCAGTCACCCTGATGACTTCCATTAATTTTTCTTCCCCTTTCACATCAAGTTGCCGTTCTTTTACATATAAAAATCCATATTTTTACTTCAGCACTATCCCCCGAATTATTCAGTGAACTCTCTGGTGAGATAAGAATGGAGCAGCTTACCCCACAGCAATTAATTACCGGGATGGTCAGATACCTATCATCTTCTTTGTCTACTGATACAAGCACTCATCTAGGGCAGGAAGGCAGGACTGCCTTCAGAACAGCCTTGCACATTTCATGATAATCTGGCAATCAGGAATTCATACTATCCAAAGCTTGTTCTCTATAGTGAAGTATTTGTAATATGTCCTAGCATCGTCAGAAACCTACCAAGGCCAGCTTCTCATTTTTTTCTAGAAGATGTGTGTGTGTGTGTGTGTGTGTGTGTGTGTGTGTGTTTCCTACCTTCAGAACTCTGCCAGTGTCACTGGTACTTTCCTTTCTATCTTTACAGAGATGTTCACACACCAACTAAAGATCTCATTGCTTTTAGTTACCATTTTTTTTTCCAAAGCTACAGTTGAAATCCATGCCACTTTCTGCCCCTAAGCCCAGGAGGCTAAATAAAGCAGGAGTAATAATATAACAGTACAGATCATACCATACATTTATGACCCTCAGATACAGACAGCCCACTAGGTCCCCACACTGCTTGTCTCTTGAACTTGTATTTTCATTTCCATAACATCATTTTCTCATGTAGACTCAGAGACTGAACATCTACATCTTCTTAGGAAACAGGATCATATCACTTACTGATAGAGAAAATGCAATCTGATAAAATTCTCCTCATCATCTTTCTAGCAAACTATAATCCTACCTGACCATGTACATAAACCATAATCTTTCCTTTTAGTACAGAAGATGCTTGGGACTATATGTATCATGACACTGATTAATTAATGGTTTTCCATTTCCTTTCTCTTAGTTTCCTAAGACATGCACTAAACACATTACTGCTGATGCAAGTATTTCTATCTCAACTTTGTTCTTCCCATTGGAGCCTACAGGTTGCCTATCAACTTGAATCCACTATTAAAAAATCAAAGCAAACAGAAGTCCTGGCCAAGTACCTACTAGTTAGAAGACAGGTGCAGGGGATGGGCAGAGTCTGTCTATATAAACAGCTGTCCCATCTATGGTTCGTAGGGATGTCTAAGGAAGCTCAGAAGGTGTGTCTTTGCTGGAAAAAGTGAGTCTATTAAAGTTGACAGCTTACCACTATTTCTTGTGTGCTTTCCTCTTTATGATTTAAGATGTGAGCTCTCAGATGATGTGCTAGCTGGTATACATTTACTCTGTCATAGTGGACATCATGGAAACTATCTCAGAAACTGTAAATCCAAATAAATCCTCTCTTCTACAATTTAAACAAACAACAACAAACAAAACCCAGAATGCAAAAAAAAAAAAAAAAAAAAAAAAAAAAACCAAAACCATAGTCACAGGAGTCTCTCCCATCTCTTACTGTCCAAATCCTCTAGGAAGGTTTGTAATTTCTCTGCTCCATCTTATGTCTCAGCATTGCACTTTATCATCACTGCCTTAGCACAGGGCTGTATCAACACTACACTGCCTCAGCACAGCACTGAATCAACACTGTACTGTCTCAGCACTGCACTGACTCAGCACATCCCTGGCTCAGCTCTGCACTGCATCAACACTGTAGTGTCTCAGCATAGCACTGCATCAACACTACACTGCATCAACATTGCACTGCCTCAGCACAGCACTGCCACAGCACAGCACTGAATCAACACCGTACTGTCTCAGCACTGCACTGCCTCAGTACAGCACTGGCTCAGCTCTGCACTTCATCAACACTGCACTGCATCAACACTCTGGAGATTTAGGCACCATATGCCCACATAGTGCTAAGTTGAAAGAAGAATTTTTATCTGTGTAAAACTTCTCTTAGCATGTAGGCAAGACCTTCTATAAAGAATTCTATGCCTCTTTTGGCAATTAGCAACATTCTTGACTTTCCTCCTTTTATGAATTATTATACAAACTTTATCATTGTAGCAGAATTTACTATTGATGCATAACTGTTAAAGAATTTTAACACACTGCCCAAGAATTTCTCTTCATGCTTTTTTTAAAAAATAAGGAGATTCCATCTTCACTCAGAACTTACAGTATTAGCTTTATGTAAATAATGTATAGATAATTATGTTCATCCCAATCTCTTCTGAATATCAAAGATTCATCAAGTTTCAACTTTATGTACCAAAGTACTTAGCTATCGCTGTGGTGACAATGAAATAAATACCAAGTCTTTCCTGCTCTCAGGCTGTACCATAGCCATTGCAACCCCAGAAGATGTGGCCATTATATTGGAAGTCTGTTTTCACTTTCTTCTTTCCCCTTTCCGGGTTCATTTCCAAGTGCTCTTAACTTCTGAACCCCATCTCCAGAGGCTTCATGTCTCTGCCACTCTACTGCCACCCATCTGGCCTTATTCCATTTTGTTGTCATGCCTGGACAATAGTCCCATAACTTCTCTTCTCCACCAACTATCTTTTTCTAGTCTAGTTTCTGAAATTTCATTTCACAATACAAAATTGATTGTGCCATTTCAACCCCTGATGATATTTCAAT